CCGAATTTTTTTCTGTAGTTGCAGGACAAACACGAGAGCTGGAGCACGGGTTAGTAGATACAGTATCAAGACTACCCTGGTCCAGTAAATTTGCATCTCCAAATGTAGAAAGAGAAGGCAAAAGTGATGGTGAAAGAAGGGCAATTTTAGAACGCAGCTGGGCACCGGCATTGGGATGAAGTTGAGCGAATGGGAAAACAGTCTCGTCAAAGACAATGTCTCTAGAAATATAGACCCGCCCCTCAGAGGGATCAAGACATTTAAATCCCTTATGTGAGTCACTATAGCCGAGAAACACACATCTCTTTGAGCGAAACTGAAGTTTTTTTGTGTTGTATGGCCGCAGGTTCGGCCAGCAGGCACAGCCAAAGGTACGAAGGAAGGAGTAGTCGGGTTTATGACCAAGAAGTCGTTCATATGGTGTTTCATTGTCAATGACCTTAGAAGATAGACGATTAATGAGAAAAACTGCAGTTTGGAATGCTGCATCCCAAAACTTAAGCGGCATAGAGGCGTGGGCTAGTAAGGAGAGGCCTACTTCAACAATGTGCCGGTGCTTGCGCTCAGCGGAACCATTTTGTTGATGTGCATGAGGACAAGAAATGTGATGATCTATCCCTATGCGCTTGAAAAAGGAGTTTAGGGTTTGGTATTCACCACCCCAATCAGATTGAACTGCCAAAATTTTGTGACCGAAATGTCATTCAGCTAGGCTTTGGAAATCACGAAAACGAGCAAAAACTTCAGATTTATGGCGCAAGAGATAAATCCAAGTAAACTTGGTGTGATCATCAATAAATGAAACATAATAATTGTTCTTCCCGACCGAAGATGGTGCGGGACCCCATACATCAGAGAAAATCAAGTCTAAAGGACTAGCCGAAACACTGGTGGAGTGAGGGTAGGGAAGCTGATGGCTCTTCCCTTGCTGACACGCATCACAGACGACATTTTTATTGGACTTACAAATTGGAAGACTATGGCGACTGATGACTTGCTGGACGACAGCAGAGGATGCATGCCCTAATCTAGCATGCCACATGGACTCGGATGGCTTGAACACACCAAGGGCTTGGTTATTTGACGAAGGCTTGAGGGGATAGAGACCGCCTTCACACCTGTCGTGCAGTAGTGTTCTCTTGGTCCCCCTGCTCCTTGATGAAAAAATCATTTGGATGAAACTCTAAGAAGGCATTATTGTCACAAGCTAAACGATTGACAGAAATAAGGCTTTTGTGGGCTTGTGGCACATGAAGAATTTTATTGAGATGAATTTGACTATTTGGAGTATGCAAAATACTATGACCAACGTAGTTGATATCCATACCTGACCCATTTGCAGCATGCACCTGCTCGCCACCGTTGTACTTGTCGCAGAACGAGAGCTTGTCTAGCTCACCGATGATGTGGTCAGTGGCACCGGTATCCATGTACCAATTTGTGTCCACCCCATACGAAGTCATGGCGGCGGAGGCGCTCTTTTGTGGTGGACCGGTGACGTTGGCGTCAAACCTCTTGAAGCAGCGATGCGCCATGTGCCCCTCCTTGCCACAGATCTGGCAGAAGACACCGTGGAGAAAGTTACGGCCGCGCTCGCCATTGCCGCCCGTCCCGCGGCCACCGTGGCGACCACGCCCGAGCCCCCCGCCGCGGCCACCACCACCACGGCCAGCGCGATGGTTGTTGGAGGGCGCACCACCCCCGCGGCCGCCCCTGGGGCGATGTTGGCAAAAGAGTGGGAGCCACCGTCGCGGATTTCACGCCTTTGTTCATGGCTCACCAACTGAGCCTGGAGCTCCTAAAGGGAGATCGGTTCGACGCGGTTGGCAACACCGGTCACCACCGAATCAAATTCCTCCCCCAGACCCATGAGGATGTAGGAGGCGATCTCATCATCGTCGAGCTTCTTGCCGGCCGAGGCCATGTCATCGGTCAGGCCCTTCATCTTGGTGAAGAACTCCGCCACAGTGGAGGAGCCCTTGGTCGCCGTGGAGAGCGCCATCCTCGTCGTCATGAGGCGCGCCCGGGACTGAGAGGCTTGCAGCCCCCTGAATGGCAGCCCACAAGGAGGCCACGGTGGTCGAAGAGGCCACCTGAGAGAAGACGTCCTTGGATAAGGAGGAGAAGAGGTAGGCTCGGGCTTGGCTGTCCTCGGTGAACCACTTCTCATATTCCGGATTGACCGCCGGCTCGGGCATCTTGCCATCCGCACCAGCGGCGGCGTCCTCCTCCAAGAACTCAGGCGGAGGCTTGGCGGTGGACTTAGTGAAGCTCCAGAGTTGAGCACCCTGGAGGGTGGCCGTGACTTGCGCAAGCCACATGTTGTAGTTCCCACGGGTGAGCTTCTCCGTCGCCGGGGGGAGAAACCCGAAGGAGAAAGAAGCGGCGGCGGAGGAGGAGGAAGCCGCCATGAGGATCGAAAAAAAAACCTAATCCACTGGGATATGTGAGGCGTCTGATACCATGTAAAGAGAAGTGAGAGAACCAGATGACCCCTTGGGCTGCTCCTGGTTGCGTGTTATAGGCACGGGAAAAACCCCGTGATGGCAAGTACACAAATCTCGGGATTACAACAGATCTCATGCCTATCTATTCTAACTATCATATACAACCAAGTCAATCCACATTACACGGGTTACATAGGTTCAATGAACCTGGAACATGACTACTCTTAACACCGTAGACATTTGTGAGCCACCACGGCTCGCCCAGCCCGTTCAGCGGCGTTAGGCGCAGGGTGATCGAGAAACGACAGACGGATGGGACTGAAGCACCCCAGAGATCACGGCGCCAAGCGACAACCGCTCCACCGGCAACGCCAATAGCGGGGAGGTAGACGTAGTCGAAGTCAATCCCAGTTATGTCGATGTTCATGGATATAGAAAGGCTCTCAGCCTTGGACTCCTGCAGTCAAACCACGGAGACGCGTTGCTGCTCGACGATGTCCCTTACTACGCTGCGCCGTGCGCGGCTATATTGAGGCCACGGGCGTTCTACACTAAGATATGGTTGGCACTCATAAGGACACAGTTGTGCGACGACAGGTCTACGGTGCTCAGCACGTAAACTAGACGGCCACATTCCGTCGCGCGCCACGCAAGAGGAAAAGCTCCCTCATCGCTTCCCTCTTGGAAGAAGATATCGGCTCGGTGAACGTCTCGTGAAACTTGTGGGCGATCTTATCGTCAGGGGTGTCAGTGACGGCGTCATCCGACCTGCGTTCCTACTTGTTCACCAGGACGCGCTTGGCTTGCCTCTCCGAATTGGGGTCTCGGAAGGCAGATTTGGTCGCGAGCCGGTCGCTGCGACGAGGAACCGGACTAGCGGGCTCCCGACGCGCGGTGCGCGGGCGCGGCACCGTGCACACGAGACTTTCTTGCAACGGGAGCAGAAGGGAGTTGATGAAGAGTGCCCCAGCGTCGGTGTCGTAGCCGACAGTGGCAGCCCCATCCCCTACGGCAGGGCTGGGATTAGCAGCGTTGGCCGGCGCAACAGACGCGGCAGAAGGCGTCGCGGCCGTAGCGACGGTGGGCGACATGGGGGAGGAGCCGAGGCAGATGATGGGCCACTTGGGGGCGGCGATGTAGGATTGGTCGCTTGCCAGTCATCCGTCAGGGCGTCCAGGACGAGGCTGGGCCTATCAGGAGTGGGGTCGCGAACAGGGACCCCCACGTCGCAGACCAGTGAGGGGTCCGGTTCGACGGCCCGGCCCATGGGCCGGGAGCGCGGCGCCCCCTCCAACAGCGACAGGTTAGCAGCTAGCGCGGTGCAGAGGAAGCCTAGTGGCTCGCAGTCCGCGGCGCGGCGACCAACGAGGGAGTCGTCGTCGTTACTGTCGGACGCTGTAATTTATTTTTTTATTAGTTTACGAACACCGATACAATACCCAGGTGACCTCTCAGAGGTTCTTCAGGCGCTCGTAAAATTTCGTCATATGGAATATTTAGATGTTAATAAAGAGCATTAAATATAGATTAATTACAAAATCAATTACATAGATTAAGATTAATTTACGAGACGATTTTTAAGCCTAATTAATCTATCATTAGCATATGTTTACTGTAGCACCACGTTGTCAAATCATAAACTAATTAGACTTAAAAAATTCATCTTGTAAATTAATCATAAATTATGTAATTAGTTTTATAATTAGTCTATATTTAATACTATATGTACGTGTCATAGAAATGTTAGGAGCCGACAAAAACCATAGCCTTAACAAGGCCTTAGCGTGTATGTCATCCACAGCGAGCCTTGGGCCCGAGTCGGGCACGTTGGAACGTCTGCGCCTCGACTGCCTCAACAGCGCAAGGGGAAGCGCGCACCGAGCTAGGTCCCACCACAACGCGCCTTCCCACATCGATTGGGCAGGCGTACGACCCAATACGCACCGTACGACAGGACGGAAGGTCATCTCGCGACGCCCACCCAGGCTCGGTGCGTCGTCTCCATCGCCGGCGAACCTGACCGAGCGGGGTCCGCGACCACATGACCGACCGCTGCCATCGAGGCCGGGGTGGTAGCCGTTGAAGTTGCTGTCACCGGAGTCGTCGCTTGAACTCAGGGCATGTTTAGATTCCAAAAAATTTTACGCAGTATTCGTCACATCGAATCTTGCGGTATATGTATGGAGTACTAGATGTAGACGAAAAAAAACTAATTGCACAGTTGGGTGAGAAATCACGATATGAAACTTTTGAATCTAATTAGTCCATAATTAGACACTAATTACCAAATACAAACGAAATGCTACAATGAGCCAAAATCCAAAAAATTTTGGATCTAAACGCCCCCTTATCAGCCATCTTATCAGAGTATTTTTCTGTGAGCCGATTTTAATACCAACCGAATATAACAGTTTATTCGTTTGGCTATGGCTTATCATAAATGATCGTAAATTTCCAATCGAAAGAGTATTTTTCTCCCACTTAATCCGACCAGCGATACTTTCCCACGATCGAGCAACAAAACCAACCAGCCATCCCAACAGGCTATGCTGATCATCCTTTGTCACCGCCGTCGTAGCCCTCATCGTCGCCGGACAGTGGCGGGGTGCTCCAGTCCTGGTACTCGACGATACGGAGACGTACCAAATAGCGCAGCCCAGGCAGCTTGTCATGGATGATCTCGTCGGCGTGTACGTAGAGTGCGTCCCCGGGGATGCGCACATTTGGTTTAGGGATGAAAATTATCTTCTCATCAGGGATGAATCTCGGGTGCAGGCACCAAGCAGCGACAAAGAATTCACGGTCATCATCAGGCGGAGCGACATCGAGGCACGACGACCAACTCCAAGAAGCGCCGCGGAACCCACCCGTCGAGGTCCGTCTGCCCCGGCACGGGAGCATCTGGGACGGGCGCGGCGGTGTCTGGGGAACCCTCCGGGGTAGGCGGGGCGCAGCAGTTAGGCACGGACGTTGAGCGGCCTGTGGAGGAAGACCAGGCGGAGGCCGTTTGATCTAAGTCGACCGGCCGCTGCCGAGACGCGGTCCTCAGCCGGGGCGCAGCGCGGCGAGGACCGGCCATCCTGGCCGGGGAGCGACAACGTTTCCCAGTCGCCGCCGCGACCAAGGGAGGGAAGAGGCAGTCCCTCTTGCGATGGCACTCACTCCCGCAGTTGAGGCACCTCGAGCGGAAGACACAATCTGCCTTGACGTGGTCCTCCCCCATGCAATTGTAGCACTTGCCGACGAGGTTGGGCGGCATCGCCTTCGACTGCCTGGGCAGCGTGCGCCTACGCCAACGGCGGCGGCTTTGGACTTGATGAAATCCATCAGCATCTGGCGGACCAGAGGCGCGCCGGATGAGCAACCGGGGAGGGGTGGCGTCGTCCGGCGGTGACCTGGCGGGGGTGAGGGGCCTGTGAGAAGCCTTCAACCGAGGGGTGGCTGCGGCAGGCCGTAGCCATGAAACCTTCAGGATTCCTCGCGCGACGGCGACGACGCGGGCGCCGGTGGCGTCTTCCCTCCACCACCACCGCCTTCCCCTTCCCCTCCGGCGGCGGGGAACAGGGTTCCGAGCCGTAGGAGTCCTCAGAGTCGGAGAAGGAGAGACTCCCACCGTGGTCGTACCATGAGCCCGCTGGAGGGGAGCCGCCATGGAAGGAAGGCGCGTCAGGGTTTAGACCTGCGGGCCCCGAACCCGCCGGTGAGGCGCCGCCGAAGAAGGGGCGCGCGTCTGGGTTGAGGCCGGGCGACGGGACGGCGAGGATCCGGGGACCCCCAGCAAGCTCTTCCTCCTCCACTTCATCTGCCCAAGAGCGCCGGGAAGAGGATCCGCGCTCCATGGATCGGATCTGGGGTGGCGCAAAACAGAACAGGAAAAGGATGGGGAAGGGAGGTGAGATGGACGACGGGGCCTGAGTGGCCAGCGGCGTGGGGGCTGTGGACGCCGGGGCCTGGGTGGCCGCCGGCGGGGGAGGGGGGAGCAGAGCTCGGGAATTCTCTAGATTTCATAATGATATAAAAATATTCATATTTTTTAGTATTAGAGATAACTAAAATTGAAATTGTTTAACTCGAACTACATTCGGACATAGGGAGTAGTACTCAAAGTCGACATGTATTGATGATCTTCTTCTCTAACCTAATCCCAACTGCTATGTGGTGCGATAATAAGATATAATCAAATCCCACGTGACGATATGCTGCGGGAGCTTTCATATCATTCGGGCCCTAATAAAGCGGACCCACGTTCCCGTCTTATAAAGCACGGCAATGTGATAATCGACCTTGGGCGTGTTCGGCTGGCTTAAAGCCAGCCGGTTGCCTTGTTTTTCATATCAGAGAATCACTATTTACGTCCTGTCAGAATAATATTTTTCTCTCACAACAATCAGTCGGAACAGTATTTTTCAGTCCAGCCGTTATTCAAATAGATTGTGGCCATAGAGTACTCCCTCGCTCCTAAATTATAAATCATTTCAACTTCCTTGAAAGTCAAAGCATCTAAAAATTAACCAAGTTTATAAAATAAAATAATAACATTTATAATATCAAATTATTATCATTATATTCTACATGAATTATATTTTTATAATATACCTATTTAATGTTATAAATCTTTATAATTTTCTATATAATTTTGGTCAAACTTAAGATACTTTGACTCTTCAAGAAAGTTAAAATAACCTATAATTTGAAATGAAGGGAGTAATATCAAACCAAATCAACTTGACCCATGCGCCTCCCGTGACGAGCCGATCATCGTCTTCCTATGTTTGCATAGGATGACATACGGGGGCATAACCTGGGCAAAACTAAGCACTGCAGCAAAATTAATTATGCATTTTTGTTTGAGGGCCTGTTCACTAGTTGATGCTGGTGCTGGTTTAGGTTGATTGGTGCTGGTTTTTTATGAGAGAAAAACACTGTTGGCTGGCTGGTTTGGGCTGGCTGAAACCAACAAGCGAACAGGCTGGAGTCTGCCTATCCTACACCCGATTGTTCTCAGCGATTCGTTTCTCTACGCATCTTCCTCCTCTCGACGCGCTGCCGTCGCCCACCGCCCCACCACGGCGCGGTAGGTCTTGTTGAAGCTCCACAGTCGCGGATCCTGTTGTGCCTGCGACGACCTCCTCCTTCCCCCTCCCTCCACCGTCGTCATGACCATGGCCGCCCTCGTCCTAACCTGGTTCGGTCGCCTCCTCCGCCGCTCGCTCCAAAGGCGGCGCCACCGCCTTCATCTTGCTACCGTCTCTCTCGCCCCCACCGTTTGGCTTGCCTACCTCATCAAAATCTCTTCTAAAGTCTGCCGGAGATGGAGAAGAGAGGAAGAGGCCACGCCGACCGGAGAAGAGAAATTGAGTGTCCCCAACCTGCGTGAGGGGTAGAATTACCGTTTTGTTTTGTTTTGTTTTGCTATATAAGACAGAGGCAGAGTTAATAATGTCTGTTTTTTTATAATAAGGCCTTGTTTAGTTGGCCGAATTCAGTGCCGTCGGATTCACTGTGTGCACTGTAGCGCACTGTAGCATTTCGTTTGTATTTGATAATAATTGTCCAATCGTCGATTAATTAGGCTCAAAACGTTCGTCTCGCAAAGTACAACCTAAATGTGCAATTAGTTTTTGATTTCATCTATATTTAGTACTATATGCATGTATCACAAGTTTGATGTGACGGTGAATTTTGTTTTTGTATAGTGCTAAAGTTGGGAGTCAGAAGCAACGAGGCCACGCAGAGTGAATGCTGAAGGATGTCACTATCTTCGCGGGAAACTACGAAGTGTCAGGTTTACCCCATGTAGCAAGTGCATGCATCGGCAGGCAGGCCATGACTACATCAACGTCAGTACGTCACCGAAAAATCAAATTTTCCCCTAGAAGAAGAAAAGAAGAAGAGAGAAAACAACAACGTCACTTTCTCTGTCAGGTTCTCTCATACTCATAGCAGTTGGCACGAGCGCATGATGAAACACGCGTTAGTTCTATTAGCAGAAGGGAAAGACAAGAGTTTGATCCGCCCGGATCCAGTGCTCCTTCGCTCAATCTCGCTGCCGTATCGTGCTCGACACGGACGACATCTGACAGATTTGGCCGAGAAACATTTTCGTGCAGATTTGCTTAATGGCGTCCTGGTTGCCTACCCGCGCCGGCTTTGCAATTTGCACTGCCGCGAACAAGTTGAAGAAGTTGGTCAAAATCCAGTAGCGTGGTGGCTGCGTGGGGATTGACTTAACAGCTAGAAGCCGGCGAGCATTCTATTTAGCGATCAGTCGTAGTATGGTTAACAACAGAACAACCAGTCACTTCACCATTCCATTCGCGGCCTCGCCGCCGGCGCCGTGCCGGCGAGCAAGCCCCTCGACGCCACTACAGAGTAGTAGCGCACAGCACAGAGGGGGCACGCGGCACGCCCTAAGTTGTTGTAATCCGTTCCACTCTTTGGTAAGCTCGACACTTACTATTGATAGTTAGCTTGTAATGTTTATCTACTTTCTTTTAATGAAACATGTGCTTATGCACGGTCGCGAAAAAAAACAGAGGGGGCACGCCCGTGCGCCGACAGTCCGACACCCTCGCCTCCCGTGCGCCACACACGCACCGTGTACTACTGAGCTACTGATTGATTGCTAAACAGGCCGTGAACCATGTTCACGGCGCTGCTCAAAGAAAGGTCCACGGCGCTTCCTCCGACTGCATCTGCCTCTACAAAACGAGAAAGCGCACGGCACGAGGTTCCCAAAATTCCCCATTTTTCCGGCCACCAGCTAGCCACGCCACACTCCCAATCATCGCCGCAGCTGGTTCCCTGCTCGGTTTGTCTGATCCAGCGGCTGAATCCACAGCCGCAGACCATGGGGTTCGACAAGGAGGCGAGCTCCTCGTCCTCGCGGCTCGACGCGGCGCCGCTGCTCCCGCAGCACGGGCTGCACGGCGGCGGCGCGGGCGGGCACCTGTCATCGCAGCCTAAGACGTTCGCAAACGTCTTCATCGCCGTCGTCGGCTCGGGTGTGCTGGGCCTCCCCTACACCTTCTCCCGCACGGGCTGGGCGGCGGGGACGCTGCTCCTCCTCGCCGTCGCCGCGCTCACCTTCCACTGCATGATGCTCCTCGTCGCCGCGCGCCGCCGGATCGCGGGCGAGCACCCCAAGATCGCCTCTTTCGGGGACCTGGGCCACGCCATCTACGGCGCGCCCGGGCGCCACGCGGTCGACGCCATGCTCGTGCTCAGTCAGGCCAGCTTCTGCGTCGGCTACCTAATCTTCATCTCCAACACCATGGCGCACCTCTACCCCATCGGGGCCGAGTCCCCGGCGTCCCCGCTCCTCACGGCCAAGGCGCTCTTCATCTGGGCCATGCTGCCGTTCCAGCTCGGACTCAACTCTATCAAGACGCTCACGCTCCTCGCGCCTCTCAGCATCTTCGCCGACGTCGTTGACCTCGGCGCCATGGGCGTCGTCTTGGGCCAGGACGCCTCCATCTGGCTCGCCAACAAGCCCCCCGTGTTCGCTTTCGCTGGCCCCGCCGAGCTCCTCTACGGCCTCGGCGTCGCTGTCTACGCCTTCGAGGGAATCGGCATGGTCCTGCCGCTGGAGGCAGAGGCCGCGGACAAGCGCAGATTCGGCGCCACGCTCGCGCTGTCCATGGCGTTCATCGCCGTCATGTACGGGCTGTTCGGCGCCATGGGCTACCTCGCGTTCGGCGCCGCCACACGGGACATCATCACCACCAACCTCGGCACGGGCTGGCTCTCGGTCCTCGTGCAGCTCGGACTCTGCATCAACCTCTTCTTCACCATGCCGGTGATGATGAATCCGGTGTACGAGGTCGCCGAGCGCCTGCTCTGCGGCAAGCGCTACGCCTGGTGGCTGCGCTGGATCCTCGTCGTGGTCGTCGGGCTCCTGGCGATGCTCGTGCCCAACTTCGCCGACTTCCTCTCGCTCGTCGGCAGCAGCGTCTGCGTCGTGCTCGGGTTCGTGCTGCCCGCCGCGTTCCACCTCAAGGTCTTCGGCGCCGAGATTGGGTGGACCGGGCTCGTCGCCGACGTGGCCGTCATCGTAATCGGGACTGCGCTCGCGGTGTCCGGGACATGGACGTCACTCGTACAAATCTTCAGTTCTTCCAACCTGTAAGAGTCGACAGTCTGATAAGCACCATGTCTTGCTAATGCATTGGTAAGCATCGACATTCTGATATGGATCATGCCTTGCTGATGCAATGGGAGCGCTCAAATGGTTGTACATTGGTTCCAGTGGATCGAGAGTTTGAGACCCAATTCAGCTGCCATGTTGATTTGGGCATGCTTTACATCTCTTAAAAGTATGGGACAACATACACAATTGTTGGGAGCTTTCTGAAATCTACATGGTTTTGTTCAGATAGAGCCATATAGGTTCCAGCTGTACCAGGCAGCAGATCAATGTGTAAAGCCTATATGATCTTGTATAAGACAAAGGGAACGAGGAATTGAATCCATGCGAATATGAACAATACAAGAGTACCTACTTTATGTAAGATTCTTTTGTTCAAGGAGTTTGTAGCATGTTTCTGGGTCTCTATTGTCTCATGTCCTCGCGATAGGTGTCTTATATTGATCCAAAGTTTGTGCACGGTTTAGGTTTGTTGGTCATACTAGTTTTAAATGATTCGCATAGGTTGGCAAGTGGCTTAACCTTCATGGAAATATTGCCGTGCACTTCATAGAGATGGAAAATCTTCACTTCATTGACGAAGGAAAACCAAAGGCTCCTTTATTTCCATTGTTGCATCAGCTGACAAAACTGAAAAATGATTCGTCTGATTGTTTCTCATCCGTTTTTCATGCTTAAGTACGTACTTTCTCCGTCCCAAATTATAAGTCGTTCTATCTTTTTTGGAGAGTCAAAACATCTCAAGTTTAATAAAAATTGTAGAGAGAATTATAAAGATTTATGACATCGAATAGGTATACTATGGAAATATAATTAATGAATGATACTTATTAGGTATCATAATGCTACTATTTTATTATATAAATTTGGTAAACTTCAAATGCTTTAACTCTCTGAGAAAGCTAGAATGATTTATAATTTAGGACGGTGCAACGAGAGCAGGTCCAGGTTGGGGAATGGGCTAACATCTTCCCCCTCCCTATTAAAAAAATAAATCTCCCCCCTCGGCAAGAATGGAGCGAGTTTCCATAGACCACTGGACGGTTGTTTCTCTCATAGAACTCGTTGGCCTTGGTGACTGGGTCTCGTGACGAGGATGTATGGGTATGGCCATCTCCTTTTAATTTACAGAAGTACTCCTTTGCAGTCATCTAATAAGCTGCATCCGCGTTAGTCACCCGCCTCCCCACGCGCCGCGCCGGAATGCCCGCGCCGGAGACGAAGAAGAAGATGGCGCCCGACCGCGCCCAAGACGACGACATCATCGGCGTCGGGTAAGTTCAACACCCTCTCTCTGACTCTCCCTCTCTTCTCCATCTCCAGTGGGCATAGAAGGGTGTTCGGGGGGGGGGGGTGAAGGTGTTAGCACCGTCGGTGCGGAAGCAAGAAATTGATATAGGAAGAACAGAATTGCGGAAGTAAAGCTACTAGGAATGATTAAAAACTGAATTAGGGTTTTACATATTTCTCTGGTTCTCTTTCTCACATCCCTCTTGCTACTTATACTATGACCCTAGTTGACCCAAGATGGGCCAATCACCCTGGCACTAGGCTTCATCAATCTCTTGGGCCGAACCGGTGATGGCCTGGTTCCAGCGGCTGCTCCTTCGGAAGCCACTGGGCCTACGCTGTTGACATTCCCCGGTTCTTCAGAGCCGACATGACCCCAGGCCGGCGCACGTGGAAACTGCTGTTGTAGAGTGACAAGCGGCTCCCAGGCAGCCAACTCCGATGGAGTGTGAGACCACTGTATGAGGCCTTGCTCCATGGGATGATCTCCGAAAGACCAGCGACGTTGTAGAACACGTAGTGGCACTTGGAAAGTCTGCAAGTCAGAAGGCAAGGCCGAGGATACCTGTTGAGCTCCAGGCGACAGCTTCAGCTGGGACACATGAAACACCGGGTGTATCGAGGAAGATGGTGGTAACTCCAATTTGTAGGCTATTGGTCCAATCTTCTCAAGAATGTTGAAAGGCCCAAAGAAACGAAATGACAGTTTATGATTTGCTCGGCGCAACAGAGAAGATTGAACATACGGCTGGAGCTTCAAGAACACTTTGTGTCGGTGTTTTGGAACCGGGGATCCCTCAACCAACGAGTGAATTTGTGCTGCGTGCCCCTAATCCCGGATGGTGGCGCAAAGAGACACAAGGTTTATACTGGTTCAGGCAATCGAGGCCCTACGTCCAGTCCGAGAGATCGATCTTGTATTCCTTGCACCGGAGTGCTCGTAATAGGGGGTTACAAGCTAGGTGAGAGAGGGAACTAGCCCCAGGTCTCGGCGAGTGTGGTGCGGGCTGCTTGAGGCGTTGTTCCCAAGCAGCGTAGGAGTGCGTGGTTCTATCGGCGTGTTCGTCTTTCTGGCCTCCCTCCCAGAAATGGCCCCAGTCCCTCCCTTTTATACTCTAAGGGAGGACCGGGACCGTGCTGCAGTGCTACATAGCGCTTCAGAATGGGGTGGCGTGTCCGAGCCTCGTAGTCGGCCACTTTGTTGTGGTATGGTCGATGGAGTGGCCCCGCCCTTGTCATCGCGGAAGTGACATGTTGGTCATACTCGGTCTTGTGCGTCGTGGGGCTCCAGTCGACGCTTGATGCGGAGACATGGCGGGCGACGTCTTTGTCGCCGTAATGACGTCGTGAGGGAGCAGCGGCTCTGCGGAGATGCCGAGGCCGAGCCATCGTGGGGGCTCGGTGGTCATGGACCCTCAGCCGCCGAGCCCGTGAAACAAACTGTCGAGGCCTTGGGGAGTTATTGGCCCCGGGCACGATTCCGAGGCCACAGAGAGCCTGAGACGTGGCTCCCCATGCTGCGTTGTCCTTGGAGCGAGAGTTGGCGGCCAAGATGAGGCATGGGTGTCAACCATGTGCACGGTGGACAACATAGTGATGGGTAACCCCCCCATCCGGGGACGTCAGTCATCGCGATGACGTCGTAGGGGCTGTGGCTCTGAGGTGCCGAGGCCAAGCCATCGCGGGGGCTTTGGCGGACATGGGTCCTCGGGTTGTCGAGCCCCGGAGCAAGCTGCCGAGGCCTTGGAGGGAATTATTGCTCCTGGTGCGATTCCGAGGCCACAATAGCCTGTATGTGGCTCCCCACGCTGCATTGTCCTCGGTGCGGAGTTGGCGAGATAGTGAGGCATGGGCGTCAACCCATGTGCACGGTGGTTAGTATGCAATGGCGGGTAACCCCGCCTGATCCCCCGCCTCCCGTCCCCATCGGCCATTCTCATTGCATCTTGTCGGGCATGCGGTCGTTGTCGTCGCAGCAGCTATTGAGTTGATCTGACACTGACGCTTTGCGGAGGGACGGGAGAAGGAAGAGGTAGCGAGTGCTGCCGAGCCCGCCTTCGCGAGACGGAGGGTCGGTGGCCTCGGCCGAGGCCTTTAGCGGGAATCGACCGAGGCCCGCGGTGAGGGGGCCTCGGGCGAATCGGAGAATCGGTGAGGTCCATGGTGATGAGGCCTCGGTAGTCGGAGAATCGGCCGAGGCCCACAGATGGGGCCTCGGGCGAGTCGGAGAATCGGCCGAGGCCAAGAAGCTTTAGTCGGGTTTCGATCTTTACTGAAATCTAAGCGCTGCGTTTTTGGATCTTGCTTAGGGTACCCCTTCTCATGGTATCCGACAAGAGCCCCGAGCCTTGGGGGAGTGGAGGCACTCCCCTGAGGTTCCTCGGCGAGAATTGGCTCTTGATAGCTCCCTGCCGGGATGGTGTTTTGTTTTCGAGGTTTTGTGGGTGGGCTGCGAGCGCACTCACGGGCCGTGTAGCCCCCAAGGCCCCGGAGGAGTGATTTCACTTCTTGAGGGCTTTTTCTTCGAGTGAGGCGTTTTGATCGTGTTTGCCGGGCCCGTGGGTGCGAGTTCGGATCATGGGGCCTCGGCGATGTTGCGGAAAGAGCCCTTAGCCTCCGCTTTGGAGCGAGAGGGCCGTCGGGGGGTTCTCCGGCTTTTTTGTACGACCCTCGTGCTTCCTTTTTGCTCGGAAGGAGGGGTGAAAGATGCCATGCCACCCTCGGTGGGCGCGAGCGATGGCATCTCCGGTGAGCTGTTATCGGGTAAGTCCGAGTGGAGGCCCGCACCCGCTCGGCTGGGGTCGGCTAGCGGTCCGGAGACGCGCTCCAAGAGTACCGGAGGGTTTCTCTAGTGGGTGCCGAGGCCGTTCATTGGGCCTCGGTGGCTCGGTGCCTCCCTACGGTGGGATCCCATTCGGAGACCTCCCTACCGGTCTCGGACACAACATGTAGGCGTGCTCAGACAGGCTCGCCCGTAGTCGCCCCTGACTCTTTTGCCCCAGGGCAATTTGCCGAAACCCCTGGGGCCCAGCTTTGAACCCCTTGACCGTAACGGATCGGGTCGCTTGTTTTTATCTTGGGTGCGGGAAGAGCCCCGAGCCTCCGCGACGGAGCGAGAGGGCGGTCAGGGTCCTCCCGACTTTTTGCCTCGTCCCCGCCTGGCCCTTTTCGCTTTCGGACGGGGGCTTTCTGAGAGTCCACTGTGTGCGAGCTCGAGCCACTGGGTCTCAAAGAAAGTTTGCAGGAGGAGCCCAGTCTCTCGCACGGAGCGAGAGAGCGGTCGAGGTCCCCGCTTTTGGTTCGCCCTCGCGTGAGGGTCTCTGACCGCCGAGCCCCCCTCGGTGCGAGCCTAGGTCGCGGGGTCTCGGCGTTTTTGCGTAAGGAGCTCCCTAGCCTCTCGCAGACGGAGCAGAGGGCCGTCGGGAGTTCTTCCAGCTTTTGAATGACCCTCGCTTTTTCTTTTTCGCTTGGAAGGAGGGTTGGTTTTTGCCGAGACCCCTCGTGTGCGAGCTCAAGTCATTGGGCCTCGGCAACGCTTTGCGGAAGAGTCCCTTAGCCTCTGCGCGGGGCAAGAGGGCCGTCAGGGATTCTCCTGACTTTTTATTCGACCCTCGCGCTTCCTTTTCGCTCGGAAGGAGGGGTGGAATGTGCCACGCTACCCTCGGTGGGCGCGAGCGATGGCATCTCCGGTG